GCTATAGGGATCAGGAGACCTATATAAATTCAGGGAATTTACAACATTTCTCCTCATCAGTTTAAGGTTTTATTAACCCATGAAAAACAATTACAGTTCTTGAAACCATTCAATAATGGCGTTCAAGAAAACACTACCGGAGCGCATTTTTAGTGCATATAAATTCACTGCTCCATCCTCAACAACTTGTCGTATTGCTTCCTCATCCATGTTGGCAAAATCCCCGGTTTCTCCTAATCCTGAAAAAAATATAACCCGGGATGCCGGAGACAGTGGTTTATTCCGGCGATTCCTCCACCAATCACTGGCATCCTCTCCGGAACTCCGGTCACTACCCACCGGAGAAAAGCTTCGTGAAAAGCTACGGGGGATGGACATTACAAGAGATAGAATCAGACTTAACGGACTCGTGCCGCCAACACAACGTTGGCCGGAGTTGGAGCAATTAGGAGTGATGGATGCAAGAAAGCTATTAAGGTTTGTTAAATTACGCAACCATTTCATCAACGAAATTTATGTCGTAAGAGAGAATACTTTAGACTGTTAAAGGAATGATAGTTTTTAATTACTTTGATTGCATTACATCTCATTTAGGTTATCACAGCTTGAGATGGTGAAAGCAAGGTTAAGGAAAATTAATAAGAACTGGATTTTGTGCTCGGAATTTCATCAAATCTGTAACGAAACCTGTTCGGACGTTGATCAAGGCTTAGAATTTGCTAAGATGTTGGACGAGTCGGGAGATGTGATTGTTTTGGGGAACGTAGTTTTTCTCCGGCCTGACCAGGTTAGTTTATCTTCCTAATTTTGTTATATCTTGTGGTGATGGATAAAGATAAGATCAAGTGCACTGCATTACCTACAAATATAATAAGATGTTTCTTAATTTTATAAGAATAAGAATTTTTTTTTTGTTTAAAAAATCCGAAAACTGATAAAGCTTTCATCTATTTCTGTATTTGGTACATTGTTTTCTTCGACAGGAAAGTGAAAGAGAGTCACTCCAGATCTCTAAATTCAGATGGTGACTTTTTAAAGGTGTGGATCAGTTGGGCCGTTTTGAAAGACGAAAAATACCCTCTTGAACATCTCAGATTTAATTAATAATATTATTTCCAAATAGACAAAATTAGGAAAAACATGAACTTGGGATTTTTTTTTCGGTCGATGAGAAAGAGAGATTAATGGAAGAGATCCGAGTTTTGTGGAGTCCAAAGCTAGCAAATCCCACACTATAAACAAAGATAAAGACTATTCCCTCTTCTTGGATAAAGAGTAACTGAAGTACCAACAAACTTTAGGCCGTAAGTTTGATATCTTCGTTTGTCTAAATAGGCAGATCATCATCCTGGTAAAAACTTCTATATACACTACTTCCGTTTCAGTTTATATGAACCTATTTCCTTTTTGATCCGTTTCAAAAAGAATAATCCCTTTCTAAATTTGGAAACAATTTTGCTTAACTTACAATTCTAACTTTAATGAGAAATTTTTATAATAACACAAATACTCTAGGCCCCTTTTTGAATTGTTTAGGACCACAAATTTCAAAAATCTTCATTTTTTCTTAAACTCCGTGCCCAATTAAACAGGTTTATATAAATTTGAATGGAGGGAGTAACAATTTAAATAAACGTATTTATTTATATTAAGTGAAATTAGTAATATCAAAAAATAAGGCAAGTAACCGATTACAACATATTGAATACATTGATGATAAGGTAAACTTCTTTTTATTGTCGGTACAAAGGCAAATATCAAAAACTTTTACTCAATGGGTTCCATTTATGTTCTTATCACTAAACCTATCCATCTTACTCTTAAAATTATGGATTTAGAATCTAATATATCTCAATTTTAGTGATTTTCTTACATAGGTATATGTAGGCTTCATGTTAAAAATACTGAGTTCGTTAGGAATGTGAGGTGGATGTAGTTGCGGAGCTAGAGAAGTAAATGCGGTTTCGGACGAAGCTAGTAACTTTTGCTTAAATCTTGTATTTATATTAAAATATTCACAAAATATGTATAAACATTTAATTGTGAACCTAGTAACTAAAACGAATAATGGGTTAAGTGACAAATTCAGAACCCATAAATTTTAAATCCTGGCTCCGCATGGTGGATGTAGTGTTAGTGTAAAGTCTTTTGTCCTTGTTTTTTGGTTACAGGTGGTAAAAGCAATGCAAGAACTAATGCCGATGCCCTTAGCCAACCCAAATCATGAAATAGGAATAATGGAGGAGCAAAAAGCAGCTATTGACAAGAAAGCAGAATCATTGGTACGTAGAGAAATGTGGTGTGGACTAAGCTGCTTCGTACTTCAGACAGCAGCGTTCATGCGGTTCACTTTTTGGGACTTAACATGGGATGTCATGGAACCCATTTGTTTCTACGTAACATCTATATATTGCATGGCTGGTTATGCTTTCTTCCTTAAAACGTCCAAAGAACCTTCTTTTGAAGGTTTCTTTAAGGCACGTTTTAGTACGAAGCAAAAACAACTCATGAAACTTCATAAGTTCGATCACCAAAGGTATAATGAGCTACGGAGAGCCTACTATCCTCATTCAGCATCACTTAATTAATGGTAATCTCAGCGGGTACCTGAATTTCTTCTGCAGAAACAACAACGAGATTAATCTCAACCTCTTCTATGCTACAAATTAAGGAAACATATAAAAAAGATTATGTTACACCAATTTTTCTTCTTCCACTTATTTTTATTAACCTTTAAGTAATATCGGCTAATGTACATGTGAGTGATGAGGCCTAGGAACTTTCTATCCGGATGTCTATTTTACAATATTTTGCTAATAATTTATGATTATTATTTATAATAATATATGATTTATAAAATGGTAAGCCAATATCAAGCCTCCTGGATATGGGTTCATCTAAATCCATACATATAGGAAAAATGAAGTAGTTCTATTTTTTTTGTTCGACTCACATTATTCTCTAATTCTTCCTAATGAATTAGTTACTAGTCAATAGATTGAGGATTTGGGAGCCTTGGTATCGTCGTGACTAGTTCAACTAATTTTTCCTTTCCAGTTGTATATTTATTTCCCCTTTATTTTATTCCAGTTACTCTTATGCACAATTTGCTTGTCTGAAGAAATGATATTGACTATTATGATCTTAGTCATCAGAGTTCTGCAACTTTGACGGTAAAAAAACATAGCTTTGAGTATTTATAAGAGTTTCACTCTGGAATCACATAATCGCTTGTACCAACCTTATCATAAAGTAATCTGAAATTAAGAAGGAGGGTTCCTTTTTATAGGATGGAGGGAAGAAAATAATTTCTTGAATCATTGCAAGTGCATTTTTACCTAGAAGAGGAGGAAACTCTAAATGAGATAGATAAAGCAAAGGTTAACTGCTTTCCAAAGATCTGTAGACAACTAGCCTAGAAAATTAGAGGGTGGATAGGAACCAACAGATCTTCAACAATGTAGATAGAAAGAATGTGATGTTTGAAGTTAATAATTTGTTTTAAATGTTTAAATATCTTAAATTGCTAAGGATTTATTTATACATATATATATATATATATATATATATATA